TACTGACAGGTATCAGATGTTGCTGTGTGAAATAATCTTCCTGAGAGGTGTCACTTGTGATGTAGTCTGTGTGGTCCACAGTGAATGTATTCCTGACAGCAACAGGTGATGAGAATCAAAGGTTCCCAGAGGATCCCATAGGAAATGCATGCGGGTCATTTTTGACCCACTTATGGAAGCTTGGGGTAGAAACACAAAAACTACAATTTCTTAAAATGTATAACATTTGAACAGCATGATATCCAAAACATGTTTTTGGAGGAATAGCTGGAATATGAAATGATAAAAAAATGGAATTACAAAGATACTTCAAGAAAACCACCTCACCGGGTCAAGAAGACCCACTTCTGCATCTAAGGGTTAACAGGTTTTATTCAAATTGTGTATCTGTTGAGTTTTGAACTGTTGTTGTTTTAAGAAAAATCTGCATCATTTAGATCAAAAATTCAAATGAGGCAATCTAAAAGTTAAATAGAAATGTATTAATGCTGTACAATATTTAAGTGTATATTATACAGCATCAAAAAGCTAATTACAGTACCTGTGTTTTGTTTTCATTGTCACTGTAAATGATGGCAAGTCACCAGCCAAAGCAGATTCTAGAATATCCAGCTACACTGAAGTTAAGTGTATATTATTTATATCACTCACTACACTGAAGTTAAGTGTATATTATTTATATCACTCACTACACTGAAGTTAAGTGTATATTAAGTTCATAACATGTCATAACACTCTTCTCACCTGCAGTGCACCACAACAGGTGTGTGTAGGGGCCTCTGGTGCAGGTAGTGTCCGTGGACGTCCTGGATGAAGCGCAGCAGGTTGCTCTTGCTTTCAGGAAGACCCCTGATGAGAAATATATAAAAACAATAAACCAACCAAACAAAATAAGGTTGGAGACAAATACCAACATCTATTTCTACGATGGATCAGAGCCACGTGCAGCGTCACTCACAGCTCGGGCCAGGAGGTGAACTGCAGATGGACCACGGTGCGCTTCAGGCTCTGGTCGCGGTACTGCAGGCTGATCATGCGCTCCACGTGAGTCGGAGCCATCTTCTGCGTGGTGAGGCTGAGCGTGATCGGCCCCTGAGCGACCTGCTGGCCCCGCTCCGTGGGGAAGTATCGCACGACCTTCCCCTGGTTAGAGAGAGAGAAGTGTTAACGGGAGCTGCTTCTAAAAATAAACTTTGGAAAGAAATGACTTTATATCAAATGTTTTAACCCTATTGACATTTTCTTTTTGCAACTGCACACCATATTAAATCACAGCGCAGACTAAATGAACTCGGTACCTTTTCCAGCTCCTGCTCTGAGACCAGCATGACGATCAGGGACACCTTCTGCTCGTACACCATCAGCCAGAAGTCTGCCGCGGTGCCGCTGAGCGGGGCCTGCGTGGCGATGAGGCGCGGGCAGTACGGAGACAGGTCCTCCACCAGGCTGGCGTTGATGTAGTCGTCCTTCCCCGACTGCAGCAATACGCGGTTCAGGTCGTAGGGCATCACATCCTGGTGACGGTTCTTCATGGTGTAGCAGCGGGCGATGGCGATGGAGCGTTGGCGCGCGTCCTTCTCCTGCTGGTCCTGGAGCTCTCTCCAGCGGGCGTCCAGCACCGACAGCCCCCCCTCGCTCTCTGAGGGCTGCTCCAGGGAGTCCACCTTGGCCCGGTAACGTTCCAGTTCACCGTGAAGACGGGCGACGCGCTCTGGAGCTTGGTAAGGGTCTCCCTGGATCAGGAGCACCGCCTGGGAGCTCTTCTTCCCGTCCTGGGGGTCAGCCTTGGTGGGCTGGAGCACGTTGGTGGGGGGCTTGGTGCCTCCGGGAATGCTCTCAGGGCTCGAAGAGAGAAGG